AAAATGTTTGAGTTTAAGCTAGAAATACATTTTCAGCAGGTTTTAATTACACCGCTAATATGTCATGCCCAGATCGTCCGCTCCTCTCATGTGCCACGCCCCCTCGTTAAACTCATGTGGAATCCCAGTGTTTTACAGCTGTTTCTGATTGTTCTCATTAGTTCATTGTATTTAGTCCGCGTTCCATTTATTTCCCCAGTCCGGTCATTGAAGTTGTTTCGTTGCGTGCTTGTGCTGCCATTAAACCCCGTTTTCCTGATCCCTGGATTCCTGCCTGTTTGTCTGCGTTCCGGGCGCTTACGCGTCATAACATAATATTGACACGTGCCAAGAGAGAATCTAATCTAAAGATTTGTTCTAAAGCTACTGTTAGTCAATGTAGCTATCAAAATCGTGCACAATGGTGTATTATATATGAGAATGTGGCAGAGTGGTCCGCGATACCCGACCGAATAGACAGCCGACTACGCCACCCCAGGGAAGTTTCACTCAGGGAAATACTGTTACCCAAAATCCTTTATGAATAATGCACAGGCACATAGGTTCAGTCCACCAAAGGGGCCAGAGACGTGAATTGATAAAATTAATTTTATTACATTTAAAGAATAGTAATTCTACGTTAAAACACAATAGGCACCAATATTGCAGACAAAGCAAAGTAAAGTGCATCAACTGACAGACGGGCAAGGGACTCACCAAAGGCGGGACCTCCGCGAACACTCTGGTAATCACACACACATAGTGGGCTAATGCTGATGATCTGCACTGCACGCGCACACAAGTGTAATTCTCCACCACCAGCGGGGAGGACTCGGCTCTTGTGGCTAACAAGCAGAAAGACAAGACACGGGGTTAAAACAGCAGTACACTTCCCTGCGCCTTAGGGTCCATTATTGATCCGTACAAAATCAAAGAAGAAGAAAAAACATACAACACAAAATAAGCAAAACAAAATCAGAGTAATTGCGTTTACTCTGATTTTGTTTTGCTTATTTGGTTATTAAATATCAGCAATCAAAGAAACAAAAAATTAACAAAATGAAATCATTCCATCAAGTAACAATAAAGCAACCCAAATAAAACCAAAATAAAGAAAAAGAAAAAAAAAACTTTAGGGAACAGATCGGGCACAACGCAATGAATATCCAGGTGAGGCTGATCCGCGCTGGGCTGACCCCACCCCGGACTAATGCTGAACGTGTGAAACAGCCCAGCGAACCCAGACGATCCACGGAATACGTCGTTGTGTCGATAGCGTGTAAAAAGACTGACAAAACAGCAGCGATGTCCACTTCCACCGGTAAACCTAATATATTATAGTGGTTAAGGGTAACACTGAACGGTGAATAAATCCTACTAATATATAATTTAACTACGACAGGCATGGATGACTGTACAAAGACTGGAGCTGCCTTCACCATCTCTCCAAGTACAAGGAAACAAGCTGCTTAATGTTGGTAATTTTGTAATTGCAGGGTTATCTTTATTAAAAGGAGCTTACCAACAGTACAACACAGCTACCCGCGAAAGTGCATTAAGCTTACTGTTCAAATCAATAAAATACGTTTACAAATGTTTTTAAAGTGCTTTTGTTCATTATTAAGAAATCGTTCACATTTAGCTTGTTAGTACAACCGACGTTTTATTAAATTATTAATTTGCTGCAGCAGTACAGGATAAAACTGAATTTACATTAATAATCTAACAAAGCGTCGAACTATCAAACTAAATATAAACGATTTCTTAATGACAATTAGTAAAAACACTTAAAAAATGTGAACGTATTTTTAATTTTATTGACGTGAACTCTTTCTGTAAGGTTTAACTTAAAGCTTTCGTGGTAACTCGAAACTTAGGAGGTAACTTGAAACTGGACCATCGGCCAAACAGCTGAGCGATACGTCACAGGGGGAGGATTTCGGATCGCGGAAGGTGTCACGTAACCATGTAAACAAACATTTATAGCTCAGGAATTAAAGCAGCAAAAAAATTCAACGGCACAAACGACTGCGAAATCGGACGCAAACGGGGGCCAACCTAATGCTGGTGACGTCACCATATAAACAAACATTTTATATCTCAGAAACTCAAACAGCACAAACGAAAATTTCAACGACACACACCGGCACAAACCACTGAGACCAGTTTGGCTAAAATCTTACACATATGGGGGGGGGGGGGAACTTCACCCAGGTTCCAAAAATGAGTTTTAGATCAGTACGTCGTACTTCAACATAATGTTACAGAAACATAGGTTATATCTGCGGCTAAAACGTGTGGTGTTCGTAATAAATTCTTATTTAAAACAGCAATGACGAAAGTCACAAGATGTGAAAGAAGTGGTGGGGTTACTACACTGTGCGTTGCTGATAACAGAGTGGGTGTGTTACGAATAATTGGCCAAATATAAAGCATCTTCAAATACTCAGCACAGAAAACAGCTATATGAGTTTTGAAAACATTATTATGTATACCATGAATAAATAATGTGCCATAAGTAATGTAAATTCAGTTAGCCCCGAGTGATCGGACCTAATGACACCCATACTCTGCACAAAATTACCATACTTTTATAAATTACTTCTTTCTCTACTTGCCATAAATCAGCCACCTCATAAAAACTTTTATTCTTTGTTTTCTCGAAATTTTATTACCGGGATTTCATTTCGCATCTTCAAAATGGAAACGTCACTCTTTGCAATTTACCTCAGAAACTCGTCTCGTCTTCTCAGTGTATACCGTAGTCCATGGTAGATCCGCCTTTCATCCGTCGATTAAAGATGTAGCTCAGATTTGCGGTAGCTCGGATCTTTATATATTCGCGGGATTTTTCACTAAACACATGCGCAGTAAGCCTCCATAGAGGTTGGTCCAATTTAGTTAGCAGGGCAGTTCTGCATGGAAGATTGGACATACGATGAAACGAAACTGTAACTATGTACAGCATCATTTCGGCAACACGGAAGTGAACTGTGTTTATTTAAAAATATCAATTTAAAAAGATTAATATGCTGAGTCTACGGAAGAGGATTAGGGCCACCATGAAAATATTATTTGAATTCTGACTTTAATCTCAGAATTCTGAG